CTTTGTTTGGCCTTCCAAAAGAGGACACGACTAGAAATCAGTGGTTAAGTTGTATTTACAACACTGTTCCCAACCCAAACCCAAATATTCAGATGTGTCCAGCGCATTTTATGGAGGACTGTTTCCTGATCCTGGAAGAGTAGACTACAATGCCGGCTGTTCTGACTCACAGACTGTAAGTACGTTTTTTTATATTTAAAGAATTTGCTACTGACGATTCAAACGCTTGTTTTGAGCAGTGTAGAGTAGTGCTTGTTGTTTGTCATTTCTCCGATCACAAATGCAGACATGGTTTTATGTTACGCTCCGGCCTGACAGGGCATCATCACAGTATGGTGAGGGGCGTAACATTTCCGTCACACGCTTGAGGAATTCGGCCAATCACAACGCACTGGATAGCTGGCCAATCACAGCACACCTCGCTTTTTCAGACCGATGAGCTTTGTATAAATCGACGCGTTTCAGAAAGGCGGGGCATAGAAGAGAAACAATAATGTACAGTATGTGGAAAATAATGTGTTTTTTGAACCTTAAACCGCATAAACACATTTCATTACATCAAATACATAAAATAATGTTATTTTTAATAACATCATATGACCCCTTTAAGGGTTTTTCCTTCAACTTCAGGCTCTTTTATGTTTCAGGGGCTGATTTTTCTTTCTAATCTTTTACATAAAGATTTTTTTACATAAAGGTCACATGAAAACTGCCTTCGTACCATGGCTTCATCATTTACTTTTGTTATAGAAATGCTATGTAAACCAGTGTTTTTTCAGGCACTGGTCAACTTTGAGATTGTGAGCTATTTTGCTTCCATAACATGACGAGTGGAAAGAAAACATCCAAAATATTCAGATTCTGTTCTAGAAATGAGTGCATACTGAATTAGATAATGTCTAATTTACATATTTAAACAACATTTCTGACAGCTTTTAATACGAAACAATTGTCTTCATGTCCTATGATTAATCAACTGCGGACAGTCTGGTGACATCACTGACCTGTTATATGTAGTTTAGGCCTGGTTTTCAATTCAACTAATTTTACCCCCAGAAATTTAAATAAATAATAATAATAATAATTAACAGGGGCATCAGTACTGGTATCAGTAATAATAATCTTGCTACTTAGTAAAAAGATACCATTAAACAAATACTTTAAATATAAAAGGCTCTCAGGTATGTTAATGTGCACACATATCTCTGTATAAGTGCATCTTTGGGTGGTTTATGCATCTTTCTTAAACATATAATTGTGAACTTTTATGGATGGTTTTGGTGAAAGAATCACAATGCATCAGTGAACAGATGAATGTCACTAACCCACGTGATCTCGGGAGATCCGGACAAACTCTGTAGTTTCCCCAGCATGCGTTCGGCTGCTGCGCGTCTGGCCAGCTTTTTGGAGCTGCCGGTGCCTGATGAGCAAAAGCACATCAGAAAGCATCAGTACTCGTGCGCTCAGCATGACATCACAATATGAAAAAGCGGCTAACGGCACCTGACTCCTCCAATCCTTCCAGACGACAGGTAACGGTGAACTCCTTCATGTGATCCGGCCCTGTCTCCATACACACCACATACTCCGGCAGACACCACACTCTCTGCATTGCCAGCTCCTGACACAACACACAGCACCATTCAAATACACTCGAAACAAACAAATACTCTCTGCCATAATAATAATAATAACTAGATTAAAAAAAACTCTGTCAAGACAAACTTTATGTTGGCTTGAGGAAGCGTAGTCAGAACTTTTGAAGCAATTACAAAAGCTAGAAGTTTGAAGATTTTAAATTTGAAGTAGTTTTACAAGCACAAAGGTTGGAGTTTTTGTATGTCATGCAGGCTGTCAGACATGAATAAATGCTGTACTTTTTTACTTTTTATTCATCAGTGAGTCCTGAAAAAAGTATCAAAGGCTCCAAAAAACAACAACTATTCAGCACCAAAACTGTTAATAAATCAGCATATTAAAATGATTTCTGAAGGATCATGTGACACTAAAGACTGGAGTAATGATGCTGAAAATTCAGCTTTGATCACAGGAATAAATTATATTTTAATTTATATTTAAATTGTAATAATATTTCACAATATTATTGTGTTTTTTCATTGTTTTTAACTGCAGCCTTGATAAGCATAAGAGTCTTCTTTAAAAACACAAAAAATCGTACTGATCCCAAACTTCTGAACGTCAGTTTAGATACTCATATACATGCATCAACTTGCTCTCGAGTGTTCACAGACCTGCTTTGACCTTTCCAATATAGTGGGTGACTTACATAGAGCGGCCCACAGAAACAGCCGCTAATAAGGCATCGGTGTATACATACGTGTTGTTAGCATGTCCTATGCCAGTGTTTCTCAACCCTGGTCCTGGGAGCCCCCCCAGCACTGCACATTTTGTGTGTCTCCCTAATCAAACACACCTGATTCAACTCATTAGCTCATTAAAAGAAACTCCAGGACCTGAAATGGGTGTCAGACAAGGGAGACATACAAAATGTGCAGTGTTGGGGGGCGCTCAGGACCAGGGTTGAGAAACACTGTCCTATGCTATTGCTAGGCTTTGTTAGTGATCGATAGGTTTTCAGGAAAACCGAAAGGCCTGTCTGGTGCTTGACCAGATACCTGCAGGACTCCTACAGGATTGTATTCACCGGCTTCAGGAGAAAGACCATCTCTCCGATCACTGCGAAAGATTCAGAAAACATGGGTAAGTCTTACCTCAAGTAACTGATCTATAATAGCTCATATCACTATCTACAGTGTGTACTTTACTTTGGCTGGGTGTCTCGTTTCAATAATTTCAAGGCGGCTTCTGCAGCTTCATGTTTAGCAGCCTTTTTAGTGGATCCAAGACCTTTAAGAACGAAATGGTATCTATTTGAATACTAGTGTGCACTATATAATATACTCTTACTAGGTGGTATTTAAATAAATACACAAGTATGTAAATGTCAGACCTTTGCATGTGATGTCTCCTATGGTGACACTGAACATGAAGGAGGGCTGGTGAGTGTCTCCGTCAGCCTGAGCCTGGATGAGCTCGTACACAGGCGCACTGCCCATTTTAATGCCATATTCATGCAGGATCTGGACGGGTGTTTTCTCCTGACAGCGCTGATTAGCCATGGCGACTCTGAGACAATAATAATATATTAATACCTCGACGGAATAATGATGGAACATAATAATACAACGATGCTAGATAAGCGCGAACTACAGAAACGAGGACAAATACAACCCAAATCATATAACGCAGATATTGACAAGACACTCCATTATAACACAAACAATACATCCTGCCTGTCTATAGCCTATGTGCAGTCAATAAACAGTCTGCCATCCATATACAGACATTACATTAAACAGACACGTACGTGTTTGGAAACATCAATTGTTAAATATAAACATATGCATGTATATGTGTGTAAAAGAAAATAAGATTATATGTCAAAATGTAAGAGCTTCTTACTGAGCATCGGCCATTATTGCTATGCGTATGCCGCTTCTACATTGATTGACAAACTCACTGGCCAATAGCATTCCACTATACTGACTATAAGCCCCGCCTTCCGCACGGTACTGCGCCAGAGCCCCTCCTACAGGGGAAACCCCAATGTTAGCAGTGTTGCCAACTTAGCTAAATTTAGCAACTTTTCAGACTACCCTAGCAACTTTTTCTTCCAAAAGCACCTAGCAACAAATTTAGCATTTTTAAAAATTGATTTGGCAACCTTAAGCAACTTTTGATAAGTGACTCAGACAATAAAAAGGCACACATTTTCCATCCAAATTACACAAAAAGAGGAAACCACAGATGCCTAGCAGTACACACATCATGTGAACTGCTATTTGCAATTGTTCAATTTAATAATAATAATAATAATTGAATAATTGTTAATTTATGATACACTTTGTTAGTAGCTTGTACCTGCGATTGTTGATCAGTTAGTATACTGTAAGAAAAATGGAAAATCTTTCAGGACATTATCCATTATCCATCATCCATTGTAACCCTGTAACCCCAAAACACAATGCGTAATTTAAAATGTAGGTAAAAAACCATTACGGAAAATTCTTTCATATTAACATAGTAGATTGTGCCTTATTTTTACAGACTTTTCTTAAGAGTGTAGCATACTAACTAACTACTAATACACTGCTTAAAGCATATTAGTTGAGAATGTGTAGAATTACTAGTTTACTAGCTACTAAAAAAACTTAAATGGAAATCATTCAAAAATGTGTACGTTTTCAATAATTCAATGTATTTAAAAATACAGTTATTTATATTTTAATATTATATCATGCATATTATTCTACAAACAAATCTAAATTAACATATATAAAATATATTTTTTGCTGAGATTTGATGATGTGACAATTTTGCGTCGTCATTGCGCAATGACATCACAACATCATTTAGCAACTTTTAGCAACAAATCGACCATCCTTTAGCAACTTTCTCTGAAAATTAGTTGGCAACACTGAATGTTATCTATAATGCGTAACGCTAGGAATTTTTTGAGGAGACTAGAATGTGTTTTTCCCTTCAGCACGCTGAATAGACCGCTTTTGTGTGGAAACAACTCGCCACAGTATAAGGCCGACTGTCCGCTGATCTTTAGCGGGTTTGGCATGACATGATTTCGGAGTGAATGATAAAAGTCAGGGATAATTTTGCGACAGATGTGGTTCTTTTAACGGCACAGCCCATTCACTTTTATGGTTATATGGCCAAGGTGATTGACCGTTTTGAACACAGATATGTATATCTATGGTTTAAACAGCCATTCATGAAGTTACCCGATTTGACGCCGAGTTTGCATCTCCTCTTTCAATAAGAAGATCTCTGGCTCCACCTCTCATACGCTTATACAGTCTATGGTTGTAACCTTTTTTTTTCTTTTCTTTTTTTTTTTTATACAGTTTATGGTTGCAACCAATCGGATTCAGATTTAAGCTTTATTTTGGCACAATAAAAGGAAGCTTCACACTGTACTGTACTAGTAACCAGGGATGGTCAGTATTTCAGATACATGTATTTAAAATACGTATTTGAAATCCAAAATACTTTTTTGTATTTTAAAGCCTTTGAAAAAAAATCTAATGTAATTTGCATTTAAGTACATTTTTCCACACAGTATTTTGTATTTGTATTTTAAATACATGGTTCCACACAGTATTGTGTATTTGTATTTTAAGTGCATTTTTCCACACAGTATTGTGTATTTGTATTTTAAGTGCATTTTTCCACACAGTATTGTGTATTTGTATTTTAAGTGCATTTTTCCACACAGTATTGTGTATTTGTATTTTAAGTGCATTTTCCCACACAGTATTGTGTATTTGTATTTTAAATACGTTCATGTATTTATGCACATCTCTCTGCTAGTAACATCATACAGACTGATGTCAGACTTAAACATTCAATTAAACAAAATATCTCAAATGGGAAAACAACAACAAAATTGCGTAAAACAATATATTGTGTTTAAAACGTATGTCAAAGTTTTACTTTGTAGTGAATTGTAAAAAGTTCTGGGTCTACTTTCTTTTGTGAGCAGCTGTATTCATTTCTCTTTGGTAAGGCTGTTTACTGAGTCTGTAGATGCTCAGGACTTTTCTGTGTTTACCCAGCTACTCGATTTAAACATCTCATGAATAGGTCAACATACAATTTTTATTTGATTTATTTAGGGTGCAGATGGCAATAAACAGCAGTTGCAGCAGGCTTTCCCTTGCCATTGAAATATCATTATTTTACTAATAAACTGCTAGTTGCAACAGTCCACACTTGTGTGGAAACTATCCATTTATGCTCTTATCTAGAGCGACAAACAAAAGTGCTTTAGAGCGTTGTGCCCCCTGGACAAATACATACAAGTGCAATAATCCTAGTACAAGTTTTTTTTTTTTTTCCCAGCAGAAACATAAACAGCACTGTTTTGGGGTGAATTTGGAAATGAAATGTTATTTTAACACTTCATGATGTTATTGACAATATAATTTTAAAACAACTCCATATTTGTTTATTACATTAAATATCTAAAATATTAATTTTTTTTGTTAGGCAAGTCAAAATTACTTTATGTGAACAGTATTTTCAGGACCTTACCCCTTGTTTCAATTAAACAAGATAATCATCACCCCAGCTCAACGTGTAAACACTGATGAACATCTGTGTGTTTGTGTATGTGTTGTGTATGCTGTCTGAAAGGTTTCATGGACTGCAGCAGGACATTATGGAAGGGGTCGGTGAGATTTGGGTGGAGGGAAAACCACTCTCTTGGTGAGGGTGAACTCTGGCTGTGGCATCTGCTTCCTCAAACCGCTTTTGTCCGTCTTTTTGCTCACATCGCTGTTCACCTGCGTCAGAATGGAGAGTAGGTCTATACCCCTATATGCACATGAGACAGAGAGACACAAAATCAGACATCCAACCAATGTCCACAGTCAAATTTATACATGGTTACAGTTAGTTACAGACAGTGACTTCCGACTCAACCAGTGTTTCCACAGTGAAGAAACCTCACCCCCACCCTGTACCTCCTTGAGTTTTGTGTGATTCCTTAAAAGAACTGACTCATAAGAGTCATTCATTTTCAAATACACTGATCAGGCATAACATTATGGCCACTGACAGGTGAAGTGAATAACACTGATTATCTCTCAGCACCTGTTAGCGGGTGGGATATATTAGGCAGCAAGTGAACATTTTGTCCTCAAAGTTGATGTGTTAGAAGCAGGAAAAATGGGCATGCGTGAGGATTTGAGTGAGTTTGGCAAGGGCAAA